CATAGGGAATTCTAAAAGGCAGGTAGTTTTCCCAATTTTCTCAGAACGTGTCCTTCCCTGGGAGGAAGAAACAAAAAATAATAATTTTAATCAATTTATATCATTGTCTTTCTTGCAATGATGACTCTGGGTGACTAACAAATTTAAAACTCAATAATTCTGTCCAACCCTGTTCAGTTCTGTCTCACTTTCTCCAGAAGAGTAGACAGCAATCAAAGAGAGCTGGCCCCACAAATAATCAAGGCTTTTTAGGTGACAACCAGCACCCTGATTTTTACCCAGAAGCACACTGGAAGCCAATGAAGTTTGCATAGCCATACCCAGGTATACCGTTAATTACTCCTATCATTGCATTCTGAACCAGCTTAAACTTGTGGAAGCTTTCAATGGAGCCCCATAGACAGTTCATTGTAGTAATCTGTTTGGTAGTTGACCATGATCATGGGACGGTAGAGTACATATTAGTAAACAAAATGCTACAGTTTTATATGAGCACTGGAGCAAAAAACCTCACTGTATAGGAACAAAGAGCATTTAACTCATCATACTGCTAAATAAATTTTATTTAGGCCAATTGAATGCTAATTCTACTTATCTCTTTAGAAAAGTTATTTAGCTGCCCATGTAAAATACATAACTTTAGGAAGCAAATTGTATGTACAAAAACAATAAACCCATAAGCAATTTAAATAATATAATACGAAAAAAATAAATAAACAACCAAGGCACTATAAAACAATTCCATAAACAGAACACATATATTGTCTTTCAGACCCTGGGCCTAACACTTGGGGGAGAAGTCAAGTTTTAACACTCTTCTGGAAGGCCAAGAGAAAGGGGCCATCCAAATCTCAAGGAGGAAGCTGTTCCATATGGTAGACATTATGACAAAGAATGCATGCCTTCTTGGTTCTGCAAGGTTATGGGGATTTGAAACCAAACCTCGTGATCTAAGAATAGACAGAACTGGCACACAAGATGAATCTATGTAAAGGCCATCCTGGCCACAACTGTCACCTATTCTTTGATTTCAAAACCACGTGTTGTTTGTATGCCAGCTTCACTCTTAAGTAGTCACTGCAATGGCAGAAAATGATATACAATAATAAATAAGAAAAAAGCCTGCTTATATTTTACTAACATGGATTTTCTGCATTTTTATCATTCACAATGCAATAAATTCACAAGTCTATTTCTATGGTTTTCCTATGTGCTTGAAAAGTGGCAATCCTATGCTGATTTGAATACCATCAATACTTTAAAAGCAATGTCAACAGAAAGGGGAAAATCCCAGTAATTCTACTGTGTAATATACATATACAAGCTAAGATATTCCTAGATGTTCCAATGTAGAAGGCTATATAACGTTTTATAAAATGTATGTCCTAAAGTAAATTAAACTGATATTATTTAATAAGGAATTCATAAATACTGTATAAAATGATTACTTTTGCATTACTATGAATTATTAGCACTGCTGCCTAGCAACCAGCATCATTTTTTTTGAACTATGATCATTATAAAGGAGTATCTGGAATTTGTGCAAATGAGTTTTCATTGGTGGGCCAAAGAGACACATTCATCTTAGAAATCAGACATAGATAATTTAATGCTTTTAGAGAAATAAAGCAGTAGTAATAATTTCTGCAATCATTTTAATAAAACTTTCTCATTATTGCCTTAAGTAAGTCCTGTGAAACTTGATTATGTCAGGCCATAATTCTGTTACCTTCTCTAGAAGACTGTGTGATTTTTTACAGCAAATGGAAAAGAATGAGCTCCTTATTCAAGAAGAATTTTGGCAATATAAAAATGCATACTGAAATCTTCCTTTTACATTTTAATAAAGATAGCTAACATAGTGAAATAGCTGATGTCTGATCTCCCAGAGTGGTGGGTAGACTGGAATTGCCAGCATTCCTCAGATTATCAAGACTGTCACAAATTGGCAGCAGTACCTTGAGAATAATAAAATTGCGACTGAGACCTTTTTTTAACTTCCAGAAAAACTTTAGAAAGGAAAAATGAAGAAGGAAAATCTTAATTTCCACAAGGAATCCTCTGATCCCTGTTCTGAAGTCCATTTATATCCTTGGGAACATCCTGGAGTTCTGGTATTAATAGGCCAAGTAATAGAAATAACTTTATGTGGATGCTCATAAATTACTTCAGCTGAAGTGAGAAATTGATTGATCTTTTAACATAGTGACCAAGATGCAGAACCAATCCCTCTCAGCAATTTATAATTAGTTTGAAGTTTCCTTATTTTCTTCTTATTTGTATGCATAAATATATGGTAAATCTCCACTCAGAACTGATGCTAGGCTGATTCAACCTGTGTATGTTAATTTCAGAAGCACACATGTGCCTAATAGCTTTTAATTACTACAGAATAAGCACATTTAATTAAGAAAGTTAAATAAAATGGTTCTCATTATTAAAAAAAGGTAATGTTTACCATAAATGTAGCTTAAATATGTGTATGAGAAGAAGGGTTGAGATAATACCTTTTTCTTCCCTTTGAGTTCAGATTTTTGCTTTACTTGGTGTTCCATGCAACAAGCAGGACATTCATGTGAATGTCTGACTTCCCTATTGTGCTATCTGAACTTTGCTCATCTTTTTTTAATAGTAGTTTAATTAGCATTGCCCTAATTGGATATAATCTATTATGTTCAAGAATGCATTTATTACGTACAATCCAGTGGCCTCTTTGCTGTCCAGAAAGAAACCTACAAACAGTATTTACAATCTACTTACAGACTTTTTGTTTTGTCAAAACTGGGCACTACCACTTGAACTCTGTGTGTTCTTATATAAATTATATCCTTGGGACTGTTCTTATTTGATGGTTGGCAAATCATCTGAATAGGCTAAATGTTCCTTTTACAAATAGATTCTGTTTGCAGCTTACAAAGAGACAGTTCTGTGTCACTTCTCAAGAGATAGATGCAAACACGAATAAATGTTCTGGCATCTCCATGTGTGCAAGAACCCAAAAGAATTGTAGCTTAATTGCTGTAAACCGCTACAGCATGCGCTTGCCAATATAGTGTATGCAAAGCTTCTTTGGTTTTCTTTCTTTTTTTAAAATATACACTGCCAAGAAAAGCAGCTGCTGGAGTTAGCTAATACCAATGTTTTATGGGAGCTGATATTTTCAAAACCCTTGAAAAAAACATGAATCTACCTGTATTTTATGAAGTCCTACTGTGCTCATTAGTAAACCACATAAAACAACCAAGGTTGTCAGGCTTTAGAGCAGTGGTTCTCAACCTGTGGGTCGGGACCCCATTTGGGGTCGAACGACCATTTCATGGGGGTCGCCAAACAACGCAGTCTGCCATTTTTTCCCCTTTTCCTTAGCTGTGCTATTCCCTTTTATTCTATTGGCTCTTAAATAGAATCAAATTCTATTGGCTTTCAAAAGCCAATAGGAATTGTCCAGGCTGTCTCTGCCCTGCTGAGCCCGCCAAAAGTCCCATTCTGCAAACGGTGCTGGACCAGTTGAGTAGTCCTCGACTTACGACCGGTTGAGTAGTCCTCGACCTACGACCGGTTGGGGGGTCACGGCATTAAAAAGGTTGAGAACCACTGCTTTAGAGACAGACGTTTCTCAGTGGTGACCTCTAACTATGGAATCCCATCAAGGATGTCTCTAGGTGCTTCAAGTAGCTTCTAAATCTAATCTGGCCTTTATAGTCTCAATTAAAATGTTTCATAGTGCTTAGTGTTAGTGAATACTTATAATATTCATTTTACGGTAGGTGGGTTTATTTAGAATTGTTTACATATTATTAGTATGATTTTATTAATGTAAATATAAATGAAAAAGAAACTTAAATCTGATCTGGGAAACTTTCAGGCCAAACAGCAGGATATAATGGCTTTGAATCAATGAAAAAATAAAATATCTTCAAACAACTAACATGAAATACATCCAGTCAAAGAAAGAACAACAAAATAACCTGCTGCTCTACATATACCTGTTTGTCATTTAAATTTTTTCCTTCAAGTATGCCACTAACAATGATATTCATACCATACCTGTTGTGTCCTGAGCCTGCAAAGGCAGGCTCAGGATGTTGCAATAGTCCCGGGCTGTTGCAAGCTGCCCGGGACCAGACTGAGTGGCGCCAGACTGCGCACATGCGCAAGGCGTGAAAGTGTGCCATTCTTTGTTACCTTTTTGCCCGGGGATTCTATTTAGAGGCAGAGAGGCCTGCGAGCCTCTGAGTTGTGTCGGAGAGAGCTGAAGAGAATAAAAGCTGTTATAACCATCAGAATGTGTGCTCTTCTTTCGCCGTTGACTCAAGGACTCAACAATACCGAAAGCAAAGGCATGAACACTAAGAAAATTAGGCCTCTTCCAAATTATAAATGATTCCACTCTTCATCTTCTAAAAGTGATTCTTTCTTTCAAGCCATTTTATAATCCTGAATTATAATCCTGAATTGCCAATAATGCAAATACTCAGTTCAGCAATGAAACTTCTCTGCTGGTTAGGAGGACTGATATGTCATAAATTATTATCTGAGGCCTCAGGACCAAGTGCAGGCCTTGAAAACAATCAATGCACATCCCCAGCGACCTCCAAAAGCTGTTATCAATTATAACTTTTAATGTGATAGAAAGGGAAAACCTTTGTATAGATAACTGCAGACTAAACATATTAACTGTATTTAATTTTAATTAAATGTAAATCAAATCAAAACAAATTCTTATCCTATTCCAGGCCACTACTTTTTGAGGGTAGTTCTGTCCATATGACAGGGAGGCCAAATGCAGCCTTCAGACCAAGAAAAAGTTGCACAACTTTGTAAGGAGCCATCAATGATGCCCACGGAATTAACACACCTGTATTTGGTCCATGAGATTCTTTTATTTTCTCTGCAACTTTCATATGCAGCACTATTACAAGCTTGCAGTTCAATCCATTACCTTTGCACAGGTAAATAAGATAAAGATAACATGAAGAGAGACCAAGAAACTCACTTACTTGAATGGAATGTGTTTGCTGCCATTGACAAGGGCAAGAATGACATTGCCCAATGCAGACAATGAAAGGCAGAGTGCAGAACCCCCTTCGCGGTTTTTGCTGAGCGGTTTAACACAGCTTCCCAGATCAATGAGATGTAAGCGACTACGGCCTCCTGACACTATCATAAAAGAAATAAAAGAGACAAAATAAATGATACCATGTCATTGAAAGTATGATTTGGGCATAACTGATAACTTTATCCCCAACATTCTGTCAGACATCCTGCTGAATTCCATAGGTTTTTGAACATGGTGCTAAAAGTAACCAATTAATACTCTACCTCTTAGAGCAGACTGGGAAAAAGAATAAGCCACATACATGAATGACTATGCAAAATTAGGACTTTAGAAAAGGTGCTTTGGAATGTGCAAAAACGCACCCAAATCACCCCTTTTTGATTCATTAAAGCAGCTGGTTATGTTTTTAGATTCAAAAGGTTGATTTGGAAGTGTCTTCTTACTATTTCCACATGTTTCTGCATACACAACCATTTCATTTCCCTGGCAAAAACATGGTTACATCAAAGTCAGAATGCTGGAGAAAAGGGCAATTTCTGGTATTCAGACATACTTAGGTTCCTAAGGTATTTAGGAACAATATAGTCTGAAGTTTTTATAGAGCAAAATTATTTGCTTTTATTATTTGAGAGATTGCGCTCTCGCTCCCTCTACTTGAGCATATTAGCAAATTGCAGTATTTCCTTATAGCCTTCAGCATTGGTTCCACACAACAAGAACTGAAAACAGGCTGGCACAATCATTTCTAGAAGTGAAAGTAAATCACAAAATTAACTGTCTCCTGTTTCATTCTAAACCAGGGGTGTCAAACTGCCGGCCCGTGGGCCGGTTTCATCATACCGGAGCCGCGCCCACCCCATTGCCGGCAATGGCGAAAAAGCTCCGATACGTTGCGCGACATCACGTAACAGCGCAAGTTTGACATGTCTGTTCTAAACCATCCTTAACATCACAGCATCAATATGTATACAAGGCCAAAAATAACAATAGGCCTGATCAGCATATCACATAAACTCCCCTATTTAGAAATGTCCCATGATATAATATACTTGTTGTATATGTATGAGTCTCTTTAAAGATACAAAGACATCTGAATAATGGCTAATCATAGGAGTGGGTGGGAAAACAATGAGACTTACTTCCCCCTTTGCCACTCTTCTCCATTCGATACTGATAGATGTGCAAAGTGAAGAGCATATGTGAATTCTTCTGTTCTTCCTCCTGACAATCTTGCTGACTGCTTCGACGGGCAGCAATTGCAGCATCAAGAAAAAAAGCAGCTTTTTCTGCAGTGGGAGCTCGGAGTTCACTTTGGTTTTGAAGCTGCAAGGTGTCCAGAGACATACAAAGCTTACTGAGATTCGACACTGTTAAGTAATTTTCAGTTAACAAAGTCAAAATACAATTTTGCTCTGATTAAAGAACATTCTGTTTTACAGAATATCTACAGCTGAAAATGCTTCCAATGGGCATTTGGGCAGCTATATGAAAGTTTTAAATAAATAAATAAATTGAACTAATACTAATTTGATTAGTAATACTATCAATAGTTTCTAATATCCCTATGGAAATGTGTAACAGATGGCAAGTTAACTATTGTCTGAATTACTTTAAAATGTGTATAATAATGATGGATTAAGCAATTTATATGATCTAAAAATGAGACTGATTCACAAGATTTTTTTTTCCATATTTATTGGATTCCTCAGAGAATGTTCCAAGAAATTACAATTTCTGCTATGTTATAATACCATATAATATGGAGAAGGAACCCTTCAATATATTGAGTTGATCAATGGTTATATTTTGGTTTCAGATTCATAGAACTGTTAATATGATTTTATACTGACAACCATTGCTCACAGATGTGACTATGTTCTTAAATTTTATCTAAGAAATTGGAATGTATCATTGTGTAAAAATTATTGATTTATTGTGAAGTGAAGAATAGAAGACAAAATTCACTCTGAATTTACAATCCTGAAATATAGATACGTGTGATTATTTCTGAAATTGCAGTCTTTCAACACAATTGAAATAATCAAATTTTGTGTGGTCAAGGGTTATTTATTTAAAATTTAGGGCCAATGATATATTTTATAATTAATATTATCTGTCTGTATATATATTTTAGGCATTACTACTGCTGAAAATGATAGCTACAAATATATTATATGCATACTTCTGCCACACAGAATCATAGAGTTGGGTGAGGCTATTTAGCTCTTCATGTCCAACCTTGATTAATGCAGGAATCCAATTAAAGCATCTACAAAGGTAGGCTCCTAACATTCTTCTTGAAGTGAAGGCAGGCCCAACACTTCCCTGAATAATGGATTTCTTCTAAGCTTTTGTTTTCCTGATACTATTTTTATGGTATCTCACTGTTATTTTCTTGGCCACCTTTTCCTCTTTCTGTTTCCCCTATGTACCTTTTTAAGTCTTGCTATGTTGTTCTTTTTTGTTCCTCTATTTTTCTGATTAGAATGGTCTCTGTTGTGTTTTTACTATCTTTGTAAAGAACCATTACAAACCTTGAGCTTTTTTTACCCATTAGCTTTCTACTATGGAATCCTCTGAATTTATTAAAAAAAAAATTTTTTTTTGAAGTCAAAAGTACACATCCTTCTACACTCAACTTCAGTTTTCCTTAAAACCACGAATTCTAGCTTTTTTTTTGTAAAAGATTTTTTATTTTCAATTTTTCATTACATTCATAAAGAATACTTCAGATAAAGAATAAAGTAAATTTATACAGACAACTTTCGGTATTGCTCACCCATTTCCCCCCAAACCGCATCCACCCTCTAACCTCTTCTCTCACTTCCCTCTTTCCCTCTTCTTCCTCACTCTCCCCCTCTCCTCCTTCTCCTCAACCTTCCTACTTACTTCTCCCCTTCCTCCTATCTTCTCACTCTGGATGTGGTCCAGGGGAAACGCCCGAGCAATTCCTCTCTCCAAGTTAAAACATCAATATTATATACAAAAAGCACAACTATTTCTACTTATCTGACCTATTTAACCTCCAACCCTCTATTATACTTTATAGTCTAATAGTTTAAATTAATATGGGTAGAAAGTGATAAAAGCTAGAATTAGCATCAAAATCCACAAAAATACCCAAAATAAATAATTGGGGAGTAAACTTAATCTTCCTCTTAAAAACCTTTTGAATGTTCCACCAAATCATAATCCAAAAGGCTTTAATATTTTTACAAGTCCACCAAACATGAAAATAAGTTGCACAGGAAATGTATGGCTTTTTCTGGCAACAAGGCTTCTGCAATTTGACCAAGAATTAGTTTCCCTCCCCCACACCTACCAGTTGGGGTTCCTGTACAAAGAACATGTGAGTTATTCTTGGCTCCTTTCATAACTTGGCAGTAATTAATAAGTAGCTATTAGTATGTCTTACAACAATACTAATCCTATTATTCTAAATTGTGCCATTTCCACAAACTGTAACTCCATCCACAGGCATATATTATTGGTCTCCAGCTTTTGTGCAATATTGTAAATATTTTAATATGCTATAATATATTGTAGAAATTATTATAGGAGAAACGGACATTTAGTATAATCTGAATCCTTTAACATTTTACAGAAAAGAGAGGTTGCTGCTGCACATCAAGTTATACCAAAGGCATAAATGTTTAGGCTAGGAGAGCAGATAATCTGCAGCTGCAGGTCATAAAGTTCCTTGTAAGCCTAATGATTCAAAACCAACCTTATAAAACAGGGCACCATGAGTTAAATTGTGACACAAAAGAGTTTTATATTCACCTGCATGCCACAAATGGGGTCCTCACTAAGGTAGACACCTGGTGACTGACCATCTTGTAAGCTACCTGTTGCCACCTCTGACAGCAAATCTCTCAGATGTTCTTCTTTTCCCCACACTTCTACTGCAGAGATTCGGACTGAGAAACGTGCTCCTGTTTTCTCTTTTCTTTCATGAATCAGCTTGAAAAGCCAGGAGATGGCGCAAGGGATTATGCCAAGGTTTTGCATGGAATCGTCTTTTCCAATCATGGTATATGATTTTCCTGTTGGGAATACAAGAGAAAAGATTAAAATAACACCAAATACATTTTCATACATAAGAAAATGTAAAGAAAAATCAAAACTTCACAGTGATAATTAAATCTTTAATCAAGCTTATTTCTATAGTCCAGACCTCCACTGTATAACTATATGAAATAAAACACAACTAAAATTGTAAAATGTGATTCCTTTTCATGGATAACAGTTTATCAACAGCATCAAGTCAACTGTAAACATGACCTTGAATCAAGGAACAATTTCTCAAAATGTTTCTAAGCATTAGTGTCCAAACATGCTAGTAATTCAGGGAATGTAAGCATAACTACTTCTTTTATTCTAAACATGACATTACCCATTTCCTCTATATTCAGAATCCTTCCAAGCAGTATGACCAACCTTCTACTCTAAAGCTATACTAAAGGCAAATATACACACATGTATTTCCTATTTCAGGGCATTAGAAGGAAAACACATCAATAGGTAAGAAATCGATTAGTATATCATGAGAAATACATATGATACAGTGTAAGATTATCTGAATAAAAAAATATACTAACCGAGTTTGGCATGTCCAAAACAAAATACACACCCATCTGCACCATTCACCACAGACTGGATCACTTCAGCTACAGTTCCTGCACATACTTCAGCCTGTCAAAAAGGAGAAGTAATTTTTTATTTACTGAATGCAAATATTTCTCTTCATGGAGCAAGTGGAGAGCCACTGGATAAGATCACAATACCTTGTTCATGGAGGCTAATAAATCAATTGTGAGATAGTGGTTGCTTGAGTTGCTTTAATTCCTCAAGAATAAGGACACCTGTGATCTTAATAGTGGCATTCCACTATTCACTACTCCACTCATCCATCAGAGAAAGTATGGTGCAATGTCTAGAATACCGAACTAAAAGCACAGAAATATGGGATCAAATCTCCTCTCATTCATGATACTCTTTGTAACTGACCAGTCCCTACTACTTGGTCTAATTTAGCTAATAGGATTATGTAACATTAAAAGAGGAGAAGAGGCAAACTAGATGCCCACTTAAAGCTACTTGGAGAAGGAGTAAGAAATCATCGTAACAGTAGAACGCAATTATTTGCAGAAACCTAAAGATAAAATGCAGTTTGAGTATGGCAGGCAATAAAAGAAAGAGTTGCTGAAGGGCAGAAGGACTTTTATGAAATTTCTGCGGTGCTGATGATAATGGAATGAAATATTGGCACTTGTACATGAGAAGATTCAAGAAGAAATGAAAGAGAAGCGAATTTACAAGCTAATGCAAAAGTATTTGCTAACTACTGTCACCATTTGTCAATTCTATCCCATTTTCATCTTACACTGATATATATATTTATATATTTGCGTTTATTTTGGAATAAAACAGGTTACACATTTTGAACTGATTGCAGTTCACGTTTCAGTGTGTATTTCAGAACAAAATTGTATCATCATTGATTCACTACTTCTAAATAATCAACCCTGAAAATTTTGATGGAATGATGCTTCAGGCTTTGTTAGAGTTGCTGCGTACCTGGGAAGCATCTTGAGGGAAAACTGCATCAAATACAAACATCTTGGGTGGCACTTGGGTGCTCCTTTTTTGGAAAGCATTCTGGCTTCCAGAAGACAATGGGTCATATAAAGTAATTTGTTTCTTGCGGGGATCAACCTTTAAGAAGGAACTGGATTCTGAAGAGTCCCTGGCCAGCGTAGAACAAATGCGCAACATGACCTTCACCTGTTAGCAAAAACATAATAACAACAACATATTTCATTAAATGCTATAAAAATAATGACAAACTTGTGGATATTTAAAATGAATATTCTGGTAATTCCAATTCAATATCCTGCTTTCTATATAAATTTGGCATATCAGAATTAATGAACTGAACCATTTAAGCAAGTGAGATAAGGTTCCACTTTAAGACTATCACCTTCTTTGTCGTGTACGTGTGTGTAGGCACACTACTTTCCATTGGCCAAACTAAAAAAGAGTTAATGTCAGTGCTGCTATACTTCTAAATTAACATGAAATTAACAAAGCAAGAACAATAATAGCTAGAATTGGAACAGACGTTTTCAATAATGTGAGTATGTGTGTGTGTGTGTATACATACACATATGATTTACATTACTGCACAATTTATGTAAAAAGGCTATAACGCTAAAATAACAGATCATGTAAGACTTTATAGAAGAAATCTATCTTCAGAATGTGAGACAGTAATTGCCCTAATAATTTCACACTATTTAGTTTGGAAAATTAAACCATGTCATTTCCCACTTCTCTTTTTTTTTTTAGACTTTCCTTTTGCTCTCAAAATTATTTAGTATAAAACTGGATGGCATAGTTCATAGATGTCAATAATTATCATTTATAATAAGGGCCTCACACCTGAAAGTGCACTTGGACAAGGATGGGATCCAGCAGTTAACACCTTCATCTTCTCCCAGACAGCCACAAGACAAAATATGCTAATTTTACCTTAGCACTTTATTTTTTCATTTTCATCAAATCTAGAATGGTGTTTTAAAATAAAGGCGACTGGCTTTTTAAAAAAAGTTTCAAATTCTATATTGTTTGTTTAGCAACTGATTGGTATTTATTTGAAACCATAATTCTTAAATAACATGGCAGGAATATGATACAGGGGGGCTAAAGCCGTGTGTATTCCTCTTGCCAGTTACTGAGAAAAGGAAACAAGACAGAGAAAGGGAGGAAGGGAATACATAAACTTCATGCTGGTTTCTATTTCATCCTGTGAATATAACCTTAAATGCTGTTACTACTGCTCCATGTGAATACAGTCAGTATTTCTTAAACAATTCAGACACAAGAACAAAAAGATGTTAAACTGAAAGACTCTACTCTGAATTTAAAGTTAAAAGTATATTGTAAAAATCCTATGTTCAGGGTCTAATAGGTTTCGCGATAATTAATTCCCCAATATATTTTTATTAGTAGTAATTAGAAATACATTTGGATTAGCAATATTTTTTTCCTGGCCTATGAAAATAGGAGACTGAATAAGGAGGAATCATTGTAATCCCAAACCTTCAACTATATACTTTAGATCAAGGGTCCCCAATCCCCGGTCTGTGGACCAACACCAGGCCATGGCATGCCAGAAATGGGGCCACACAAACAGGCAAAGCCCCATATACGGGATGCAGGCAGTACATGAAACCACACCCCCTCCGGTCCGCAGAAAAACCTCTATCCACAGAACTGGTCCCTGATGCTCAAAAGATTGGGGACCTCTGCTTTAGATAACCATATTTAACATAACATAAAACTCAAGTAGAAATGACAGTGCTATTAATATACTTCAAAAAAGATCCCATACCCGTACCTTGTTTAGATCATTTTCAGACAAAAAAATTATTTTAACTGAAATAATATTAATCAACTGCTAGATTCTGTTGTTCTGTCAATATTTTAAACAAATTGGGAAAAAAACATTCTATTTAGAGTATTGGTCTGTGGCCTGTTAGGAACCGGGCCAGGCAAACAGCGGGCATGTGAGCAAAGTTTTACCTATGCATGCATGAGATCTAGGTTGCAGGCGAAACCATCTCCTCTCCCCCATCCAGTCAGTGAAAGACATTTTTTTCTTCTGAAATTGGTCCCTGGTTCCAGAAAGGTTGGGGACTGTTGACCGAGAGAACTTTTCAATCATTTCTTTTAAAAAAATACCTACCCATTTACCCAACAATACCTACTTATTTAGACATTTTAGATTGGATAGGGTCACTTTTGTGTCTCAGAAACAGTCTTTATTTTCTGTTACTCTCATTTAATTTTTTACTTTTGTTCAATCTTGTCTGATTCTTAAAAGACTGCCTGCATAAGTCCCTACAGCTTTTTTGGCAAGGTTTTTCAGAAGAGATTTACCATTTCCTCTTTCCTAGGGTTGAGAGAAAGTGACTGGTCCATGGTCATCTAGCTGGCTTTATTCCTACTAGAATAGACTAGAATTCACTGTCTCCTGGTTTCCAGCCTAATGCCTTAATCACCAAACCAAACTAGCTAAATCTGTGATCAAATTTAATGATTAGCAAAGAATGATGTTATTTCATTTATAATGTTATTCTTAATTGGCTGCAATTACCAAGTGCCACAAATAAAAAGAGTAAAAATCACACTGAACAGATGAATATTATTATAATCAAAGATGCAATTTTATACATATCTTCTTCCTAGCAAGTCTTAAGAAGCTAAGTAGACAAACTAAGTAGGCTGCATTATTAAAATAATCTCTGTCCTACTGCAATAGCTATAAATATTGGAGAATATATAATGTAGTTTTAATTTCCCATAACTGATATTTTGTTCGAAACCACTGTTTTCAACCTTTTTTTTTACTCCTGATATTTGTGACAAAGCAGAATATGCTTCTTCAATTTATTTCTAGAGTCTTTGACACTGAAGTTCTGTCAGAAGTTCCCTAATGGTTTTTCTTTTTTTTATCTTCTGGTTATTGTCTCAGTATAGAAACCAATTTATTATCATTATACTTATTGTCAAGCCCCCCCCCCTTTGCTTTTTTCCTTTTCCCCTATCAAATAGCTGCAAATACATATGAAACTATTTCAGAGGACCTTGGACTTTACATGATCCATGAAAACTCATGAAATAATAAATGTGTTGGCTGGTTGCCAAAGGCACTTTTAATGGTGGGCTTTTTTTCAGAAAAAAGATCTTAGGAAGGAGAAATGCATGTCTTTAATTAGAAAGAACTGTATGTATTAAGTTTGGTTTTTCTGCATGTCCCATTTTTACCATCTTTGTTTCACCCTGCTTGCACAAAAATGAAAAAAATCTATACAGAAATCCGTTCAGATTTTGTGCACTTTGTGTAAAATTTTCGTAATACAGATTTGTCTTTTTTTTTTTCAAATAACTGCAGTACAGGATTTAAAAATGCATGAATCCTGAAGAATAACTGTTTCAGGAGAAATATTTATCAAAGTTGGAATTGAAAGAAATTTTCTTTCACCACTAATTAATAATGAAGAGATGTGATGGGTTACTCAAAGACCTTTATCAGTAGTATAAGCAGCTCTATCTAACCCCAAACTGTAAGGTTTCATGTTTGAATTATTTAGCTCTTTGTGTAACACATAAAGCTGGAACTTTCTCTTTGGGCAGGGTATTTTTTATGAGTCACTAATCCCATCAGTCATTCTGGCACCTTTTATTGGACATGTTTTTTACAGCCATGGGTTTGGTTAGAGTGGCACTGTCCATGGAGACAGAGGCAGAGCAGAACTATCAAGTTATATTAGCACTCCATCAACATAATGGCAATTGCTGACTACAGGAACAGACTTATCTGAGGTTAATCAAGAGTAGGCTTTGTAATTCTTCATTGCCACTGCTTGAAATAATGGAAGGAATCATATCATTTCTTACTGTAAGCAGTCGCAGAACTGAACAGTATAATAAAATTTGTATTATCTTGTGACTTATGGCAATTTTCTCACAAGAGAAGTTTTTGTCTAGCAGCAGCAAATAAGAAACAAAAAAAAGGAATTGTATTTCTTTTATCATGACTCTGAAATTATTCAATCAAGTGAGTTCACAGTTAAGATTGGCAGTTATCCAGATTTAAACCAGCACATCTGGGATAGTGAGAAAAATGAACTGCGCAGTGTTTTAATTCTTGCCATTATCTAGGGTATTTTAGTGTTGCAAGAATTGAATCTGATATAAATCCTTTTTTTTAATTCAACATGTCTTCATTAGGTCAACTGAATGAAAATTTCATGAGTGGCTTCAAAGTGAGCAGCTTCTTGGCCCAGGGCAATGACTATTAAATAAATACAGACACAAGATGTGTTGACAGGCTGTTGTTTCAATTTTGCTTTTCTTTTATACAAAAGCAGAAACAATTGCTGCTGATTTTTTTTTTTTTTTTACATCTCCTTGAAAATATTCCAGGTACAATTGAAGGTTCTGGTTCTTATTATGCCCTTCATGACATGGGGCTGGGTTACATGAGGAATCATCTTTCTCCCATCAGATCTGGCAGGAGGGGCATGCTCCAGGCCCACTGATTAGAAAATGCCATCTTGTGGGACTAGAAAGTATGTCTTTTCTCTCACAATGCCTGCCCTCTGAAATACCATATGACCCATAGTTATGTTACTCCTGACTGTCTTGGCCTTTCAGAAAGCTGTTAAGACCTGTTCCCTCCCCCAGGCATATAAGTCAGATAGTTAAAGGAACCCAGTGATTAGTTGTTGATTTTCTCAGATGCCATAGTATGCTAGTTTATTTCTTATATGACTGGGAGTACAATAAAGTTTTTAAATTTGGTTAGCTGCCTAGAGTCACATTTGTGAGATATACAGCCATTTAAATTGATTGAAACTAAATGTAATGATATGTGGGAAAGACAGGCCAAAAAACACTGCCTAGAGCAGGGGTAGGCAACCTTGGCTCTTTTATGACTCGTGGACTTCAACTCCCAGAATTCCTGAGCTGGCTCAGGAATTCTGGGAGTTGAAGTCCACGAGTCATAAAAGAGCCAAGGTTGCCTATCCCCTGGCCTAGAGAATGATCAGATAAGAGACAGCATAACCTAAAGCTGGATATTGGAATGAAATTAGGTGGGTCAAGAGGCTCAGAAGGAACCTTCCCTAGTTTCTTAGACTGTAAAGGAGATGGCAGGAAAATTCTGCTTTCGTATTTGCAAGATTCTGTTAATGTAACTTTACAATAAAGTAGAATTA